GTGTGTGTGTGTGTGTGTGTGTGTGTGTGTGTGTGTGTGTGTGTGTGTGTGTGTGTGGTGACAAAGAGGGCAGGGGGTGAGGGATAATAGAATGCAGCTTGTCTCTGGGGAGGTGGAGGCTGTGACTGTGCAATCATTACAGGCATAGATCTATCAGTATGTTGATGCCCGGAGCTCCTCCTTTCCCTCCTCCTCTTCTTCCACTTCTCCTTCAGCCCCTCATCCCCCCTCCTTCTCCCCACCTGTCCCCCAGCATCAGCAGAAGACCCCCTGCTCGTATTCGTGTCCCTTCTTTCGCAGCTCCCCGCAGTCCTCAGCCCTCCTCCTGTGATTGGGCTTCACAGTCAGTCTCACTCTTGATTGGTCCTGCACACTCATGATGGCAGCATAGATTTAGAGTAGATATGAAGTGTTGGATTATTGTTTCATTGGAGTAAACAGTGTGTTTTCTTACTAGTAATGAGATCACATGTATCCATGTCAGGTGTGCATGTTGCCTCTGATGACAAACAGTATAAGATTTCATTACAGGACAAATTGCAGAGCTAGCAGCTGAATTACAAGTGTTTGCTCAAGAAATGAAGACGTTACCATGAGTGCAGCAGGCTTAGCCTTTAGACAACAACACACGGAGTGGATATGAGTGAGATGGCCACTCGATCAATACTGACTTTGACTGACGGGTTAAAAGAAATCAGCTAATATGTGCAAAAACAAAAGATATCAATACTGTGTGACATTTGTAGGGAATAAAGAGTATGTGGGGTTTGGGAGGGTGTGTGCATTCGCTCCTGAATGTCAGATGTAGCCGCGGGGGGGGTTAAATGGAAAAAGTCGAGCAGGGTTGTATCATTTTACAAAGCGTGGTCAATAACTGAACCCCTGCCAAAGTCATATCCCAAATAACACGCCCGTAGAAGCAGGCTGCAGAGCACAGCCAGCTCCTTTCATGTCTTTGTGTTCACTAATAATTAGTGGCACGCAAATACACAAATTCATGTGCACAGGCACAAAAGCATGACTCATTAGAGCGTCCTGTGGCGTGCTGATAAGGTAGACCGGAGGCTTTATCCCACTGCGTTAGGTGTCTCCCTCGGCTTTGCACTTCCCTCGTGAAGTACTGCAGGATTTGCATGCAAATAATTTGTTGGCTAATTCAGTCTCAGTGATGAACCGCAGACTCGGGGTAATTTCAGCATGACGTCCCAGGTAAGGTTTGTTGCAGGGAGGTCAGCTGGGGCGTTTTCTGAAACGCAAGAAGCATTTTTCAGGTTTTTGTTGCACATTTTCTGTTTTCACCATCCGTCTTTTCATTCCTCAGTTTCGTGTTTTCACCGCGCCGTTTCACCGGGTGGAGTTTGCAGACTTCTGGCTGGCTGATCAGCTCAACTCTCTGGTGTTTACTCTCATGGACCTGGAGTATCTCTTCTGCTTCTACATCTTCGAGCTGCAGTGGAGCAACAGCAAGGGCCTGTTACCCGACTTTGGAGGTGAGGCGTTATGCTCTGCTTTTGTTTACTGGAAAAGCATGCACAGTAGAAACATAAAAACATACACTGTCTGTATGTTTGAGCCCTTTGGTTGCACAGGGACAAGCCTAGTGTAGCTAATGGACAGATCAGGGTTATCATGCTATTTGTTCTGCATCTAATGCGACAGACTGTTGAGATTTCCTGTGAGAAATATGACATTTTAATCGCCGTCTACTCGAGTGATATCTTGGCCTCCATGTGCCAGTTAACCTGGAGCTAATGGAAAGTAAGTGTTTGGTCACACAGAGGGCTCTCGTAATGACGAGTGCTTAGTGCAAAGGGTAACATGGAGAGGAAATTGTTGTAGAGTGAAAGAAGAGGCGATCTTCGCATCGGCCGCGACACCACCAAGTTCACGGCCTTGGAGAGTTTTGTGACTGCATTTTGCACGACTGTGACATCATCACGCTGGCAGAATGTGTCCACAGAGCAAATTCTGCACCAGGACTTCATTTTTCCCTGATCACACACACACTGGAGTGAACAGTGCTCTGTTTTATATTGTTGTAGGTTCCCGAGACTTCATGTGCCACAGCTACTCCTACGGTCTCCGTGCCATCATCCAGTGTCTGCCTGCTTGGCTGCGTTTCATCCAGTGCTTGAGGCGTTACCGTGACACAAAGAGGGCCTTCCCGCACCTGGTGAACGCTGGGAAATATTCTACCACCTTCTTTGTTGTCACCTTTGCCGCCCTCTACGCCACACACGAAGGTAGGAGACGGGACTGATAAGCACGTGTACGCTGAGGTATCAGCTGGGCAGACGTTATATAACAGCTTATGTCATTTGCAGTGCTTCGAATCAAAGAGGAACCCAACGCAGACACGGTCAGTCTCGAGCTGAAGAGTCGACAGTTTCCGTGTGTTTCGTGTATTACAGGAACATGTCAGCTCCACACAAAAGGCTAAAATGCCTTTTGTGTGGAGCTGTGTGTACTCAAAGAGCTGAGGTGACCTTGAGCGCAAATGCTAGAAGCTGGCCTTGGTTTCCATGCCTGGAGCTTTATAAAGAGAATGGGAGAGGTCTGTCAAACACAGCTGCATGTAAGCAAGGCTCTGCTCTCGGTTCAGGAGGTCAGACAGAGGAGAGGCAGCAGATCGGTGAAAGTCGAGGATTTAAAAAGAAAAAGCAGAGATTTGAAATTACGAGCAGGTTGGATGTAAAAAGAGAGCATTAATAGTCGAGTCACTCTCTCCGTAACAGCTTCGTAATTACCCTGAAATGATTACAATTATTCTGATTCAGAAGCCAAATCACAAAGGAATTCATGTTCAGAGACGCTCGGGCAGTAAAAGCATCTCTTTAGCACGCAGCTTTGCATTTCCCGTCTGCATCGCAGATATTTGTTCACACGTCTCCTTTCAAAGCTGCTTTTCTATTTAAACCCTTGCTGGCATTTTGCTCGCCGATATATTTATTTTCCAGCAAAATGCCAGCAAGGAATCTTCATCTGCAACCTTTTAAATCATTGAATGCTATTTCTCGGTTTGGCTTTTTTCTCTTCGATTTAAATTTAAATCAGTGCATTTGCTTCCTAAGCTGACCGTCAGTGATACTGGATGAACCAGAAGGACAGACAGAGCTCTTTTTCTTTTTTTTCTTCCATCTCAGTAGGAAAGGCGTCCATTAAACCATATCCTCCTTCCTCCTCTGGTCTGAAGCCTGTGTACCCTTAGACTAATGGCCTCCCTTCATGTGTTATTCTGTATGAAGCTGTCTTTCATCCAGCATGATAATGGAGGCCAAGGCTGATCGCTGGTTAAGTGAAGGAGGAGGGTGGGAAGACGGCTCCACAGACACGGACGTTGAATAAATGGTTGAGGAAACTGCCTGTTGAGGAGATCGTTTGAGTATTTCCTACATAAATAGGCTTTGATGGCTGAATGCAGCTGCCAATATCAGAATAACCTGAATCCAAATCTGGTAAAGAAGCAATAAGAGCCTCAGACACACTAAAAATACAGAGTCGATGTACGAAGGAGCCTTTAGCGCTGGAGCCTTACTGCGGACAGGACGGTGCCAAGTCTGCCTGCATCGCCCAGCAGACCTGACAGCAAAGACAGCAGGTTGGTATCATGTTCACACCACTCGGTCCGGCTGTAAAAGCTGTCTGGAGTGTCAGTCGGGATCTGGCAAAGGTCCCAGCGCCTGCGAGTGGATGTGTCACCTTCATCACTAACGCTTCCATTGTGACCTCGCTGCCACATCACCTCGCCGATTCCTGGAACCTCCGGGAAGCAAAATGAAGGAAATAAATCACAGGATTCTCCATAGAGGACTGAGTGGTGTCCATTGGCTCGTGCTTCCATTTGCTGATCAAAATCTGTAAAATTAAGAGGCACAGTCTCCTCTGTGCTCTGTATGGGCCAAAGTGGAAATTAAGTAAGTAATCTGTGTGTGTTGAATCATATTTTTTAATGTGATTCAGCAAAACTGAGCAGATTTCTCCCCTCAGAGGAAACGCTCAGCTCACTGCTGCGAGCAGCTGATTGGACATTGTCATGAAACTGTAATCTCAGCAGAGGCTCTGAGGCCTGTAACCTGAGAGATGCTGGAGGATTTCCTGGTGTGGGCAGAGTTCCCAAACTGTGTAGCTGCACTGAGGCCTGACAGTAAAGCAGCTGCTTTTCTCGGGATCAATACGGAATCTGCTTTATGTACAGCAGCCTGAGACTTATCACTGTTTGAGATGCAGAGGAGCTGCAGGCCTAATGCTAATTTAAATTCTCGGGATTTATCCAGAGGGAAGGCAAAGGCAGAAGAAAACGATGTTTGACGGGCAGAAAGAGAAACGCAGCCCTGTGCTAGCAGGGAGACGGGAAAATGTGATGTTAAAGGTAAACCACAAAGTGCAGTGTAGAGTCACTGCAGGCATGGTTTTAAAGAGATCTCTCCATCTGTAACACCAAATCCTGTAAAACATCTAAAATAACCTTGAGGAACACGACTCCTGCTGGTCTGTGTGAGGTTAACTGTGGTGGTGACGGGTGGAAACGGACTGAGACGGCTGTAGAGAAGAATCCCTAAATTTAGAAGCGATAGCCGCTGAGAGGAAAGTAAAATGGGAAATTTAATGCGAAGAGGTTGGAGAGAAAGCAAGGGTGCAGCTGGGGCAAGTGAGGACATGAAAGGGAGGAGATACTAATATTTAAAAGATATCAAACCGGAAGTAATGGAGGAGAGGAGAGGAGTGTAATTACCAGCCCCGGGCTGAACGCATGCCTGCTGGACTCTGCTGGAATAGAGATGAGGCTGAACTGACAGCTTTTACAACTTAATTTCATGCACTGACCCCTCGTTCATTATCAGGACAGGAATCACAGCACACACACCGACACAGCTCTAGTCAAACACGTACTCACGTTTACTGAAAACAGATAAAAGCTCTGCTTTGAGTCTCTCTCGCCATCTGTTTGAACTCTGATTCACCCCTGCAAACCCCTGCAAGCAGACTCTTGTTATTATCAGTGAAGCACATCTCGATTCAGATACAAGGTGGAAATCTGATAAAGTGCACATGTTGAGATGGAGCTAACAGGTAAAATAATTCAAATAAAGCTGTAGGTATCATATTAGGTTGGAAGAAGTCTGAGCTGAATAAACACTCAGATCCTTGATTTATCTGAAAGCACTGAGACAACAGGGTAAAAATAGCGTTTAAACCCTGCTTTGAACACAAAGGCATTATCAGAAAATGTCTGTAAAATATTCAAACTAAAAGCACCTGAAACTGACGCTGGGGCTGTATTTGTTATCATGTAATACTATAATACTACAGAAGTATTAGGTTGTTTGTACTTGTGCATTAACACTTTGCATTGTGCTGTTGTAGCTGATCAAATGACATTTACATGGTTTATTCATAAAGTGAGGCTGCAAGTCTCTCCAGCAGGGCACAAGATAAATCAGATCATTAATGAGGTATTAAAGAAAAGAAATATCTGAATTGTTGGACTTTTCTCTCATTTTAAATATCATGTTATCTCTTTGCACCAGTACTTTTGGGTCTCTGTTCGTCTTTTTAAGCTTCTTCCTGGTGATGCTGGACAAGTGAGGGCTGCAATAAATGACAGTGGCTCTTAATAGTGAAACCAAAGGGGAAATCGGCCCCACTGAAAACACATGTAAGGTGATGACCAGCTAATGTAGTCAAGTGTTTCAGGTGGAACAATATCCAACCATTTAAACGCTGATGATACGCTGTTTGCAAAGTTATTTGCTTTCACCTTTATTATGAAATAAATGTATGACCTGTATAATTATGATGCTGTGGACTGTCAGACACCAGACGTTGCTCTGGGTGTTGGAAGAACAGCAAGTAGCACGAAAGTAAGGACACCAGAGGGAGGCGAGGACACGACAGAGAAATATGATTCTAAGATGTAAATGTTGAAACGCTTTTATCAAAGAAAAAGAAATAGTTGAACGAACTGAGTGACACATGAGGACAGTGGGATAGGATTGAGGAGGAGAGCTCTGGAGAAAGTTCAAAAGTTCTAATCACCGCAATACAGTCGAAGGGACGGTGGATGCATCAGGCAGGAGGAAAAGAGGAGGGTTGGTGTGCATCCTCGCAACGGACGGGGTGGGAAGCTCCAAAAGGGAATAACTGAAAGATGAAGAATTGGATGGTGTTTCAATATCTAAGGTTATCTGGCCTTTGTGACAGCGCCGTGGGAGTGTGGGGGGAGCTGTCTACTTCCACGTTAACCTTCTGCCTAGCTTCGTGTTTCACGCCCTCACAGTTCGCTCGGTTCTTGGCCTGCATCAAAAATTCCCTCATACGCGTCTGTGTTTGTAACTGCTAACTAAGCCGAAAACATGGGACACAAAGTGAAAATGAACTAAAGTAAGAGAATGAAGAACAAGGACGAGTGCTGGATTCAGTGAAAAGGAAAAGCTGAAAAATAATTCAACAGCAGCCATTCTTGTTGTTTTCAAGTCCTGTTGACCTGTTGCAAAAGATGTGCTCTGTCTTTATCAGCACGACTGGCCAAGACAACAACAGTGTGTGTGTTTGAAAAGAAAATAGAGGTTGAGTGTGTGTGACAGGAGCCAGTAAGCACCGTTAGCCCATCCTGACCAGTTCAATCAATGCCCATCCCACCATGGTTGACCTCCTAATGGCCCAACAGTGACCCATCCTTGTGGAAAGACAGCATCAGCGAGTGGAGGATTAAATACCTCAGTACGTTAAAGCTAAAGGAAATCACATCGGTGGATATTCTCCAGTGAAAAGAGTCTGTTGTCTGGGACTAAGTTTAATCTACAGCTGGGAGACCTCGGTGTGGCCGTAGGGACCGGTTCCATCCCGTCGCTCAGCTGATGCAGCAAACAGCACAATGGAGGCAGCGGCTAACAGAACAGCAGTAATTCTCTGTTGTCCCGGCTCTGATCCCTGGCGTCTCGTAGGCTGGAGGCACGTAGAACAGTGACTATGACAAATGAGAGCGAGCCCGATCTCTGCCTGGTGGCTGCCGTCTGTGCGAGTCGATGTGAAAGGCCATCGGGTGCTGATTTATACATCGGCGCCCACTGAGGAACAAGGAAATCACATCCGCACGGCTCCCACAGAGACACGCGGGCGCTGCTGAGCACAGCTATAAAAACACCGTGACATTACGCAGTACATCAATCAGCTGTAAACTAACTGCAGATTGTTGTACAGCCCACAGCTGAGAGCACTTGAACTAATAATAATTATCACGATTAATCCTTCATTCATGTCTCAGAAGGCAGAGTGAGGGGGGGAGGGGGGTTTAGGACTTACTTTTGTTTTTTAGAGAAATAAAATCTACATCAGGTCCTGTTTTGCATTATCACCTTACTGCAAGAAGGTCTCGGCTTCCTTTAGTAAAAAGTCACTGGTTCAACCCTCCAACCTACATGGGGAAGTATCCTTGGGTAGGATGCTGCATCCCATAAGTGCTCTTTGCTGTATCCATCCGAGTGAGAGTGTGTGAAGGTTAAAAGTGCCACATGTCTGCATGAGTTCTCTCCAGGCACAGCCCAAAGACCTCTGTGGGTCTGTCTCTGACCAGTAGGTGCCCGTCTCTGCAGGAACCTGGGCAAATGTTGGTCCTTTATTTATGCAGGTAAAAAATCTCATTGAGATTAAACATTTCTTTTCCAACAGAGAGCTGGCCTCATGGCAGCGAAAGTCGAAACTACATGTACCACATAAGTACATTTAAAGTTTTCCTGACAGTGTCACGGCTCCCCTTGACCTCTGACACAAATGACCCATAAAACGTGCAAACAGACATGCTGTACATTTTCAGGAGTCCCTAAAACCACTATTTAAACCACATTTACATTTTGCAGGTGGCGCTATAGAGCCATTTTCCCACACCCAGGGAAAAAACCAATGAAACATGACAGCCTTCATCGCGTTCGAGACGTGACTTTTGAAGCTTTCCCAGCTCCTCATCTGCAGCTTACCCGTTAACGGCGAATCACCATGCCAACAGGGCGTGGTCTTAAATAAAAACTCACAATTTTCACAGTAAGGCATCACCAGGGCCTGAAGTTAATGCAGACGACCTTTGGGGTGCATGTAATGAACCTGTGAAGAGGACAAAACTTGATCTTTCCTGTCCCCACTAGGTGGCGCTCTAACTGGCGCTGATTATTTGCATATGAAACTGTTCCGATTAAAGACAATGAAAAACAGTCTGGTTACTTTACTGAGCCTTAACACCGTTTCACACTCTGTTTTTATGCTGTGGGCTGCAAGTGTGTAGATTTTAGTGCAGGCATAATGAAAAGTGAACACTGAAGTGTTATCGCTCTCTAAGGGTATCTGTTCAATCAATCAATGCTGGTCTACTCGTGGCAGGAGGGCTCCCTCTAGTGGTAAAAGTGATAATAGAAAAGTTGCGACCCTGCTCTGCGTGTGCTGATGCTGTTGCATTTCTCTTTACTGCAGCTAAAACCAGAGGAGCTCTTGAATGCAAGCCTCTGACACAAGTTGTGTTCGTGTGTTTTCTTTCAGAGCAAAGTCACGCAGACGCCAACACCTTCTTCTACCTTCTGATTGTGTCTTCAATCATCAGCTCCCTGTACACACTGATCTGGGATCTGCGTATGGACTGGGGTCTGTTTGATCGTGGAGCTGGCGAAAACATCTTCCTCAGAGAAGAAATCGTTTATCCACATAAGGTAGCGTCTGGTTTAATCCCCGTGCCCGTCCCACCCAAACAGACACTAACCCCGTCTGCTCTGTGTCCAGGCCTACTACTACTGTGCTATTGTGGAAGATGTGATCCTGCGTTTTGCTTGGACGATCCAGATTTCTCTGATCACAACGACCAAGATCAACTCTGTGGGCGACATCTTGGCCACCATGCTGGCTCCTCTTGAGGTCTTCAGGTGGGTCTGAACAAAGTTTGTTCCTTACGACGAGCTTCGCAGAGCACCCACGGTGACTCGTGTCGTCCTCCTCACCTTCCTCACTGCAGGCGCTTTGTGTGGAACTTCTTCCGTCTGGAGAACGAGCACCTGAACAACTGCGGTGAGTTTCGTGCGGTCCGGGATATCTCTGTGGCGCCGCTCAACGCTGACGACCAGACGCTGCTGGAACAGATGATGGACCAGGAGGACGGAGTCCGGAACCGCTCGGGCAAGAAGACCTGGAAGAGGTCCCACAGCCTGTCGCTCCGACGCCCCCTGCTGTCCACCTCACAGTAAGAAACCACGTGTGTGCCTGACATCGTGCACTTTTATTTCACATTGAAGACGAGTGCAGAGCTGGTATTACTGTAGATGAAAGGAGTTCTACTTCTATTAAACATCAGACATGGAAGGATTACACATTCCTCGTCGTTGCTCCTGGAGATTATAAAACTGTCACACTGAACATTTTTCATTAATTAAATGTGTTCAAAGATACTACACCCATTTGAAATAGAAAAAAAACAGTTGTTCCTTCAGTAGAGGAAGTATCCAGATGTTGCATTACGAGGCTGTACAGCTGAGGTCCCTTATGTTGAGCAATCAAGGAAACCCAGGATCGGAACTTAACTTTTCCCACGTCCTGGTGTTTGAGCTATGAAGAGATACCAAAAATTGTACATTTTAATGCTAAAATATAATTATTGCTGTTTTACAAAAAACCTTTTTTATGAATATGTAAAATGACACTGATTTACTTTCATTCCTGAACACAAAAGTAGTTTTAGCGGCTGAGTGTCATTCTTGATTAATTTCCAACTTCTCAGAGAAGTAAAATATGATTTAAAAAATATTACTGTGACATGTGTTTTCTTCTTTTTATGACAGGTGGTCTGATAAATTTGTAAAATGCTGTACATGCCTTTGTCTGAATTAAAGTCACAAAGTGTTACACAGTGTTACACAAACCTCCATTAACATCAGCACAGTAACTGTGCACCGGGAGCTTCATGGCATGGTTTGCATGGCTCCTGCAGGTGGCCCGGTGCTGCTGCCCATATAGTGTCTGGACTTGTGTGAAGACAATACTGAACTGAGTGCATGAAAAAGCAGTCCATGCAGTTGTTTTAAATAGTTAGTAATGTATAAGTAACGCAACGTGAAACGAAGTCTCGGTTTTGTCAGATAACGTCTGATTTTCTTTTTTTAATCGTCTTTATTTCAGATCGAAGAAGGACACCAAGGTGCTAATTGAAGATACTGACGATGAGGCCTTCAGCTGAGTCCACAGCATCGGCACACGCACGCACACAAACACACACTTTACGACACTGTACTTATAAAGACCTCGTTCGCTAACGCCTGACCTCAAAGCTCCTCCCTCGTAGAGTTAACGCGCAGGCCTACCCTTCAGTCTCGAAACCTTTAAAGCAGTGAGGACCATCAGTCACTGTCCTCACCTCTGGGAAACTTACCTCATCTTTACGTCCTTGTAAGTACAGTTGGTCTTTATAAGTATGGAAACAACACACACACACCTATAATGTAGAAACACACACAGAGATAGACCCGCTGAAGCACAAGTATAGTATAACATCGCTGCAGGTGAGGAGAGAGCTAATGCCACCCAGACAAACAGCCACACAGTCAGACAGATGGAGGACAGACATCAAGGGAAACCTTCTGCACATAACCGGCGAGATAAGACCGCACTGCCCGGGGATTATCCTCTTCTGTTTTTTAAACGGACTTTTTTTAATATCTGTTGTTTACTTTTCTGTAGATTCTTCTTTTATTTCCTGAATTTGTTTAGAAGACGCTGCATAAAATAGGCTACCGACGACTGTTTGCACACCTACACTAGGATCAACAGGGAGAAGACAAAGCCAATCAAAAGACTAACAAACACAAACCTGAGGAAGGACTCTACACGCATATCACAGCATATCAGAACAAATCAACTGGTTTCAGCTTGTTGATTCTTTTTATACACCATCTCTCTCTCTCCTTGTTTTTTTTTTCTTTTTAATATTTTTTAGTTGTAATAACATCAGTGTGCAATCACAACCCTGGAGGCACTTGCAGGAAAAGTGCATTTATTACACAAAATCTTGTACTTGTACACAAAAAGGGAAATTTTGATTCAAACATTTCTAAGTCTGTGAAGTTCCTTTGTAATATTTGATGTGCATTATGACTGTTGTAGTTGTTAAGTCCTTTTACATTGTTGTTTATACTAGTCAGACTAGTTGGAGCATCTGATTGTCGATGTGTTTTATAATGTTTGGAATGTTTTTCATGGTTGAACTTGTGCCACATTTTTAACGAGCTCAGAGTTAGGACCCTCGGTTATCCCCGACCTCTAATTAGTGCGTGAACGTGCCCTGTTAACTGCAGCAAATGTACATGCGTTGCTTTTCTTTACATTAATTACCAAAGTTTTCTTTTTTATGAATGTGACTGTGGCTGGGGTAGCTTCCTTTAACAAGCCTGCCAACTGATATAAAAACCAAACGTTTAAAAGCAGATTGAAGTTTGCAGGCTGGAGATCACAGTAACATAAGCAGAGGTACAGCTGATCAGCTCGGTCCTGTTCCAGAAAGCAGGTTCAACAAATTCTACGTTTTCGGCTCCAGAACAAGCTGATCGGAGTTGCTTCAAATCAACTCTGAGTGTGAGGAAACTAAGCCGTGATCAGTGCAGCGCTCATCAGCCAATAATGGGTTTGACTGTGGGCTACGGCATTTAGCATAAAAGTAAATGAAAAACAAAGTCAGCATTGTCCACTCAGTCATTCTTTACTTAAACTGAATCCAACCAAAATATATCTGAGTTTGGCACAATTACAGTAGAAAATAAATTATCTGTAGACATCTATTGAATTCAATTCAATTGAATTCATCCAGATACTCCGGATGTGTCCTGATTCTCAAACTTATTTTAAAATGCTTTCAGAACCTGAAAGTCGCTGAAGATGCTGAAATCTTCCTGTCATCTCCAACGTGAAAGCTAATGAAAGTGATTACTACAGTAGTGCGCACTGTCAGGCATCAGTGCAGGGCATCTCATGGACAACCTGACAGATTCCTGACTGCCCACAGAGCTAGAAGGATGTATCCTATAGAGCAGAGCTGGCAATAAATCCGTGGTATGCCGTGGTCGCTGCTGTTACACTGATGACAGATTTATTATGAAAGCAGCCACGTTAGCCATCATAAACAACAAGCTAACATATAAATGGGATTGGACTGTTTGTAAGGACCAGCTTCTGTTCCCCTTGGTGCTTTAAGACTGACTGCACGAATGAGAAAACCTTAAAAGTTGTTTAAAGGAAATCTGTCAGTGAGCAGTTTACTTATAGAGAGTCTGTTGCCCCGGTAACTGACCCGATGTTTAGATTAATCCCGTCTCTAAAACATCAAATCCAGAGTTTTCACTAAACCTGCTCTCTGGAACGCGGCCCACGTAAACCGTGGAGCACTTTTAGATTTCACTGAGCTCAGTGAGTCCCGTCAGTTTTAAAACCGATGTGCCGGATCATGTCTTTGCATCTTGTCTTAATATGATTGCATTGGTTCTCCGGACCATGTTAGTCTTGAGTAATGGTTGAAAATTAGGCGACTGGGATTCTTTATGTTGATGAAGATGTTTCGCCTCTCATCCAAAATAACAGAATTCCTGTGATTACTGACGGCGGTGTTGCCAGATTTGGTGGTTTTCCATCCAGCGGCAGGTAAACGGTCGTTTCGTTCCATAATGATTAATAACAAAAACAAAACTGGGCTGCATGTAAGGCCATGAGGGGACTTGGCAGTGGTCGAACACTTAATAAGCTCGTTCTCAGCTCTTTAACAATGAAGCTTTCGGCTTCATGTGGCTTTATTTCCCGAGGGACGCCGCAGCGGATGGATCTGCATGCTTGATTTGGTGCAGATTTTACACCGGATGCTCTTTCTGCTGCAATCGCTCTTGCTTGGGATGATGCTAGAAGCCCTCTGTGATCCCGCTCTCTTCCCGAGCTTAAACCCGAGCCCTTCGCATCTAAGGCTGTAACAACAGTAACCATGGTTACAGATCATGCCAGATCCACAGCATTATCCACGATCTGTGACAATTTCGTGCCACGAGAACAATCAGGTGTCTTTGCTTCTGTAACACACACTTGAGCTCAAGCGTTGCTTCACTTATCTCAGCTGTTACTGTTACATTTTGAAGTAAGTGCGCCGCGTGTCTGGCCAATGCTTTTACCAGCTACTGGTTTAAGTTTCGAGCTTCTCCTGTGAAAGGCCCCCTGGCTGTCCGAGAAACGATGGCGACGCTTTAACGCTGACGTCTACGTGTGCGTGTTTGACCCTCTCGCTCTGCTGTTCCTCCCACCGCGGTAAAGTGAGCCGTCATTTGTGAGCCGCGGTCAAGCCAGCCGCCTCCTATCCGCCGCATAAATTTCCTTGCGCTTTTACACCAGTCTTTACGGTAGCGCCTTTTCGCTTTATATCCTGATTGAACGCCTAGACTCGCGCACACAAATTACAATGGAACAGCCCAATACAGCCATCATGACAGTCTGGTTGCATATTCAAAAATTAATTAAAAATCATTCTTAAAAGTTGAGGGCAAGCTTTCAACACAATCCTCTTCTCGGACACCTACTTTACCTCTGGGCCAGGTTTTACCCAGATTTACTGTAATATTACTCAGAAATCACAGTAAACTCATATTCAGTGCAATACAGTCAATGCACTACAATTATGTTTATTTCAAAAATTCATTAAAAGTCATCCTGAGTAGTTGATGTCCAGCTTTCAACACATCCCTCCTCTGGGACACCTACTGTACCTGTGTGCCAAGTTTCATCCAGATTTACTGTAGAATTCCTCAGAAGTTAATGGAAACATTTATTCACTCTAATACAGTCAGTACAATAGAATTATGTCAATTTTCAAAAATTCATTAAAAATCATCCTGAGTAGTTGAGGTCCAACTTTCAACAGATTACTTGTCTGGGACAGGATGATTTTTAATGAATTTCTGACATTTCCATAATTGTATTGACTGTATCGGGCTGTTTCATTGTAATTTGTGTGCGCGCATGTGCGTGCGACTGTTCGCGCGCGTGCACGTGCGCGCGGGTATAGGCTGCTTTTCAATCGGCACATAAAGCGAAAAGGCGCTACCGTAAAGACTGGTGTAAAAGCGCAAGGAAATTTATGCGGCGGATAAGAGGCGGCTGGCTTGACCCCGGCTCACAAATGACGGCTCACTTTACCGCGGTTTCCTCCCCGTGGCTATGCTGTGTCACCACCCACTAGTCATGAGACAAAGCCCAGGGAGCTACAAGACCGACTTATTACAGAAATGTCTCCTGTTTCTGATTCTTTTCTTTTTTCCTCCTCCTCAGTGGCTGAAAGGCTGAAAAGCCTCCGAGTGCAATGAGCTTAATGTGAACTTGAAAAAGCTGGAAAGTCAAACTGTGCCGTATCTGTTTAGAGTTTAGAAGGTGGATGGAGCGTCTGTCCGTTTAAACACACAGCATGACCTTATACACACATGAAACATGACACACACACGCACGCACGCACGCACGCATTGCCTCTCTTGTGTCAGAGAGCACAAACACTACAGCAGATAGTTTTGTAAAAAGGCTCCGTTGTCTTGCCTGCATGCTGCTTTTTGTTTTACATTGTACATAGATGTTAATTTATTTGACATAATGTGTATATTAGTAATCATTGTAGCCACTGACAATGATTGATTTCATACGTTGCCATTTCTGCTCCAGAGCAAACAGTATTTTGGAGGCGACGAGGAGATTTTTGATCGTTCACAGTCCCGCACTTTTCCCCTCCATGTGTAAATCTGTTGAAACGTGTTTGTATAAAAATAGAAGAAGAAAAAAAACGAATCCACAAAGATGGAGAACGTGATCAGTCGTACGTTGTTGGTGATTCCTTCGTATTTAGATAAAACGGGGCTCGAGGAGAAGGACGAGGTGGGGGGACTCCAGCGTCCTCAAGCTGCGGCGCTGTCCGTACATTTGTGAATGTGCATGGAAATATTGTGGACATCATATCTATCGTTGTTAGTCGCCCTGCAGAGTACCGTGGGAGGGCACAGGACGAGATCCCAGTCCGGGGAGGACCCACACCACAACAACATGATACCGCTAAACCGATCCACCGTGTACTTCTTGAATATCTGATCAAACTAATGAAGGATCTTTATCTGCTCACTGGAAGCATTTCAAGGTGCTTCGATGTGAGAAAAACAGATGTTTTAGTGATTAGTGTGTGTCTGAAATGTTCAGTGTGTGTAACCCGCTGACAAAAACAAAAAACAGGGTGATTTTGTACAGATGTTACACGATGATAAGCCCTGACATCCCTCTTTTCCCCTCACGAGTGAAGGTTTTGTTTTCACTGCCTGCTGAAACCTTCACGATGTTTAAGTGCTCGATATCGATGTTGTTTGTACCCTTTTCTCTAAACTAGCTGAACGTGATAGTAACTGTAGTTTGGTAGATGGATGTTCTACTTTGATAAGATACTTTAAAATTGAAAAAGATGACAGAATAACTACATTGTGGCTAAATGTGATTTAAAGAGACATGAAGGGAAAATGTCTTACATGCTGAACCATCCTCCCCGAGTCCCTTTTACAAAGTAGTTTGTACATGTCGAGTGTATAACGCTGTTCTATGATGGTTTTTCTGATGGTATTTGTATTTCTGTATACACTTTGGTGATCCTGTCATATCTGGGTTTTATAAACCACGATTATTTTTAAAGCTCACTTGGCCTCTCGACTCTTCTTTTAACCGCCGCTGCATATTCTGTTCTGCAAACCTTTATCAGCGGGGCCCCGATGCAGCTCTGTGAATATAGAAATAAACCTCAGCACACATGCATTATGGTTCGTTTCTGCACTTTAACAGTGTTCTTTGGTTCCTTTTGCATTTTAGGATTCGTGCTCGTTTCATGTCTGCACTGTATTGTGCGGTTTTGAAGTTGATTCTTCACCCGCTCTTGCGCTTATGTAGGTCTGTCCAACAGGCGCTGGCAGCCTTTGGGGATTTGAGGTCTTTCTCTCTTTTCTTTCTTTTAATTCCCAGCGGGCAGACAGACGCCGTCACATTCAGCGTGCCAACCAGGAGAAATGAATCATTGAGAAGCATGAAAATCACGCTTGTTGGCAGAGAGAAAGCCCCCACTAAAATCAAAGGAGAACACGGTGAACTTTGTTGAATCATCATGTAAAAAGCTCTCATAATCCAGCTGAAGCATCGCAGCAGTTTTTCTCCCCTTCAGGGGAAAAATGTTTATTTCTAACTTTGGAAGCCACCGCGGCACTGCGTCAGTGTTTGCGTGTCATGTGACCAGTTTACCCAGATACATCTGAGGAACATTTAACGATTTAATTTGTAACAAAACTACCGGACCCATTATATTTTGTTTTGTTGGAAAAGCGGACAATGATTATTCTTATTTAAATACAGAATTGTGCAAAAGTCTCATTTCTTTCCATTTTGCTCCGAAAATGGGAAATCGGTCCAGTAATTTATTGAAGCTTGTACAAACAGTGTAAAAGGCAAACAGAGTTTGTGCGTTTCTAATGAGCTTAAAGTCTATATTTGGCACCCAGTCTGAACTCTCTTAATTCTGTAAGTGTTCAGGAATAGTTCTGCAGGCTCCTTAGAGGACGTTCAGAGCTCTTCTTTGGATGTTGGCTGCCTTTGTTCTGTTGAGCTATGCTTTTACTGCACTGTCAGTATGTTTGGGGTCACTGTCATGCTGAAAAATGAAGCCATTAATAATCAGATGCCTTGCAGATGGTTTTACATGATTAAAATCTGGTGGCACTTTTTTTTGTTCATCAATCCATCAAGCTTGACAAGATCCGCAACACCACTGGCTTCAGTCTGCCTCAGATCGTGACACAGCCTATAGCCATATTTGGGCATAAAGACAAGGATTTTTAACCCAAAAAGTCAAATTCAGCCTCAGCTGTTGATTTTTGCTCCAGTACTTATGTAATTCGGCATACCTCAGCCCTGTTCCCGTCCTTAATAATTGCTTCTTTATATCCATATTTTCTCTGAAGCCATTTCTAACCAAGCTTTGGTGAACAGTAGATGGATCAACTGAAGGGCCAGATGTTCTCTCAGGTCCTGTTTCAGGTCATCTACTGTATGCAGTTTTTTGTAGATCTCTTTTTTACTCATCTAGTTTCCTCAATTTTCTAAATGACACAGATATTCTTTGATCACTTAGTTTGTTACTATTTCATGCCTGTCAAACTGTTTCATCTTTGGCATTTTTCATAGATTTCCACTAAGAAATGACAACAGATTCTGTTTTGTGACTGTCAAAACTTTTGCACATACCTTTAAAAATAAATGACTCTTTAGTTATCGAAGCAGCTGCAGGTTTCTACCATTGTCGTTTGAGCTCCAGGTTTTTTGGTCTGTCAGATTATCTCCTCTTTACAGGCTCCATCTGCGCACACAGACACTCCTCAACAGTGACTGATTTGCGTCGGCGAGGCTGTGTTGGTTAAACTCAACGACAAACAAGCTGCTAGTCAACATCTAAGAAGTTCACAACTAGGTTGTTTATTTTATGATAACTGATACAGGATAAATGTTATACATTCTATTTTAACACTGATATTTCGATTTTATTTTCAATGTCAGTATGCAAAAAAAAGAACAATGCAAAAATTAAACATTTGGTGATGAATATGATACATAATTTGATCTTCATTAATATTAAACCAATTAATCTTAAGGACTCATTGTTGCCCCAGTGATAACTTGTTTAGCTACAACACAAAAAAGGGGGAAATACAAAAAAATAAACAACAAACATCAAGAGTTGGCTGACAGCAAACACTGTAGAGAACCACATGATCTTTAGATGTGTAGATGCATATATAAAAATACAGGATCCCTGTTGTGTGTATATATATGCACATACAGTAATAACGCATTTACTATAGTTGCAGAGCCTGCAGTGGGCCTACAATTAGACAAAAATGAAGAGAGCAGGATACACATACATACACACGTTTACCATAATCTCCCCATATAAACACACAGAAACCAACCAACCGACCCACAGGCAGGCTCTCCGGCTTTAGAGGCTAAAAACTACATTTGACTTAAAAAAAAAAAAGAAAAAAAAGAAAAAGAAAAACAAACAGACATTCACATTTCTCAAACAAATCCCATGATCTCATTAGTCCTCACCTGATCAGCTGACTCAGCCGTCAGCCTTATTAACGTTACTGCCACCACAGAAGCTTGAATGATAAAGATGCTGAGGATGATGAACTCCGTTCTTCCCGGTGCGTTCCACTCGTGCAGCCAATCAGGGCCGAGCTGGCTCTCGTTGATTACTTCACTGTCTGTTGGCCCTCGTCCCCACATCGTCACTCCTCTCGCTCGCTCACTGACTCACTGCGTTTCTGCCAGTTTCTTCATCCGTGAG